TGTGCAGAACATTAAATGTCTGTTCCTTGGATCTAGCAACAAAATGACCTTTTCAGGGCTCATCCTTTTCTTCTCATTTTTGATTTGTTCAAAGGAAATTACAAACGACTGGTATTTGGTTTCCAAAAGGGATACATAAAAACTTGACCTTTTGGTACTGTTTTTTTTGGGGATGTGTACACTGTATTTTAAGTATGTCTTAGCTGTTGTTTGCTGGCCTATGTCTAGTTTAAATAACCCTTCATTTTATTCAGTGTAAAGCTAGGACCAGAAGTATAACTCCTCTCATTTTTTTTCCCATGACAGACCTTTACACACCCCTGAGATAATACTTTTCCTCAGGCAATTTTAAAAGAAAGTGGGGTGGAATAGGCTCTGATGTCTTAGGGACTTTCCATGTAGCCTGTTACACAGTGCAAATAGCATGTCATACCATCTCCATTGCTGTCATATCTAAGTGCCTACTTGAGTGCTCCCTTGTGTCAGTCCTCTTTCCATTTAACAGAGCGGGAAATGAGACACAGAAAAGGTAAGTGACCAGGGTTATTGAGGAAGCTTGTGAGAGAGAACAAATGAATCTGGACTGACAGACTACTGTCCTAGTTTTGCTCAGCTGCTTAAAGTCAATATATTTCCTGCAAAAAGTGAATGGTGAGCTTTACACATTTCTAGTGAAATCAGCTGATCTGGAAATTAACCAAGTCCAGTAGGCTATTCAATGAGTACATAAGAAATTCCTCTCATTTCCAGCTGAGTAAATTTAATTTGAAGAGATTTGTAACACCAATAGTTACAATGAGAAAAGTTATAGAGAAGGCAATCTTTGTCTCGTAGAAATTAAAGCAAATGATTAGATTGAGTTATCACTATGTATAATTCAGTTTACTGGAGAATGAGAATTTAAGATTTTTGAAGAGAATTAAGCTATATTTCTAACTAAAAGGCCTTTGGTCTCCAAGTCAGATGTGTGTGGTCATTTAAACCTATTTAAGTTACTGCTATTGATGAGATATGGCAATGAGAAACCTCAGAAAGTGTGGTGAATGATTGAATAGTGCTTACACAGACTGTTTTTGCAGGGCTGTACATGTAAATTTATTTATTTATTTTTACCCTCAAAGTTTGTCAAATGCCATGTGATCAGAAGTTCGTCAGTGCACCTCTCCTTGATGTTTTGATATGTTTCTTATTGCAAAACACTTTTTTTTTAAAACTCGGATTTAACTCATGTCATTGTTAATGCTTTAGTCATAGCCTTTTTGTGTCATTCATAACAGCAGTTCACAGCACAGAAACAGGATATGAGGTGACAAGATTGTAACTGTAGACAAGTCAGAGATGGGTGATGAATAAGCAGAACAGGAGGTTCAGATTAGACATTTGGAAAAATGTCACTAGGAAGGTAGTACAACACTGGAACATGTTGCCAAGAAAGGTTGTAGAATTACCATTCTTGAAAGTTTAAAACAGTCATCTAGACAAAGCCATGAGTGACCTCATCTAGTGTTGGCAGTAGTCTGGCTTGAGGAAAGAAAAAATCCACAGCATGAAGGGAGAAAGCCTAGGCAGAATTCTGCTGCTGTTAAAATATCCTCTAAATAATCATCCTTCCAATTGCCGTATCCTTCTTTATAATTGAAGCAAGGTACTGAGACTGCCTGCCTCTAAACAGCCAAAAAGAAAACTTTCTTGGTCTGGCTGTCAGAAGTCTTACTAACATCTTACGAGTGCTCGCCACCTGCTTATCCCTCTCCTAGCTGTCAATCTGTCCCATGAATTTTGACATACACGCTTTTCTGTGTGTGCTTTATGGCACGCTCTTCAACAAGCACCTCGCTACCTGTCGCGGAGGAGCGGGGAGGGAGCGATGCACTTCACTCGTAAGAGAGAAGCGGGAGTATGTTTTATCGATATAAGATAGTGGTTTAGCAAAGATCAAAGGTAAATAAGACAGTGGTTTAATGAGATTCGATGGCAAGGTTCACTCGGTTATTTACTGTGTGGAGGACAGGGTCAGACAAAACTGTCAAGGAGACCCTCCCGTGGAGTCACGAGGTTCAGAATGGACCCCCTTGCTTTCTAAACTCCTTCTCAGAGGAGTCTAAGTGCAGCTGGATCCAATCTTACTCCCAGACTTGGTCAGTGGTTTATGTCAAAGGTCAAAGGATTATGTGCACAATCAGTCAAAGAGGTAACTTAGCAAAGTTTGCAAAGTTTCAGCATGCTGTTGGTGACTTACCAAGGATCTGTCACAGGCAAGGAATCTCTCGACCTCGAGGAGTAACCTTGAGAGGCGTCCCTGCTCAAGGGGAGATTCATCGCCGTGCAGCCAGCTGCTGTGCAGGACAGCTCGACGGGCTCTGGGCCGCCCCCTGTTTATGGGATAAGATGATTGACTCATAGTCATATTTGCATACCAGCCGTACCTAGTCCTTGGCTGTTGTGCTGTTATCTGTCTCCGCAGGTTCTGCTCTGAGGCGGACAGCCTGAGCACGGGGTGGGGGAAGCCAGGTCTTCCTGAGGGCTATTGTCCCAGCAGGGTTTCGGGTGAAAGGTCAGGTTGGGGTGGGGGAGTGGTGTTCACCGTCACGCTACAAATGGGCGAAACGATAGGAGCCAACCAGCAGCAGAATCTTTGAATTGATTTCCCTTTTCATCGTTTTATGGCACTGAAAAGGTCTCCTCCTTTTCAGCTATGCTAATCTATCGGTCTCTGAAGAGTATCTGTTACTGCCCAACAAAGACAAAGTACACGTGTTGTAGTTCCTTCGCGCTTTGCTTTTGCCCCAGTCTTGATACATGAAGAGTTGCAAATAGTGCAAGTTAGTGACTTTTTCCATGCACAAAACAGTTTTTAAACATCATAATATCTTACTGCCTTTCTCCTCATTCCCCCTTATTTCTCCTATTTCTGCACCTTACAGGGAACTTTAAAATGCTGAACAGAAAGAAGCAGTCTTTTGAACAGAGCACTTTGATGTGCAAGTGCTTAACGGCCAAATTCAGGAGCACTTCATGTGCAGCTGAACATTTCAAAATTCTCGTTCTTGTTTAAAGAGCTAATTAAGAATCTTTCTAGGACTTTTCTCAAATGATACAGTATCCAAATTACAGTATCCAAATTACTTTGTGAATGAAAAAATTTTACTGAACTCATGGCCAGGAGCAGAGGTGAAGAAAACGGCTAGTCTTAAAAAATACAGGCCATATGAAATACACATTTCTGCATAATCTCTATTAAGTAAATCTTTTAAATAATCATTTGTGCATTTGGAGCATAGGTTATTCTGCTCATTTAACTGTTTTCCCCAAGCAGCTCTGTTTGTTTAAAAAATAATGTTTGTTTTCCCATTAAAAAGTAAGCATTTACCAATAGTGACTTACAATACTGTAATGAGTTCCATATGGCAGGACTACTCTAATAACACTGTTTTCTTTTTTTTGTTGTTATTTTTGGAAGAAAAGGAGCTAGATATATTAATTTTAGCATCCAGTGACTCAGTAGTTTTATGCTTTAAGTTTTTGTGCTCTCTGTTAAGTTGTTGGTAATACTAGGGGGTCATAACAGTACTTTCTGGCTGTAAAATCTATTGATGCATAGTAAAAGAGTATACACAAACTGCCAGGTTTCTTTTTCAACTGAAGGATTAAAAACTGTTTTTAACTATCTGGATATTCAAATGGGGCTTTTGTTTATTCTGAATATAGAGCAAGTAGTTTCACCCATGGACTTATCAATTATTCGCTTCATATGATGTGGTGGGATCCCATTTGTGCAGGTGCTTACTGACAAATACATTGAATGTTTATAGAAAAGGGTATAGGAATATGCTGGGAGGGAGTTAGGTGACTACTGTACTCTTTTGATTTTAGTGTTACTCATGCTATTTTAGATTTCTAAAGACAAACGCAAGTCAAGAAGGAATGCATGAGAATTGTACAAAATAAGCCTACTGCGTTATAACAGACTTTAAATCAAGAGTGTTTAATAATAAGCTGCGAGAAAATATTTGCTTGCATACCTTCTGTTATTTCAAAGGGTTTCAGTATGTCGCCATGCTAGCGTCATTGAAATTCTAAGACCAGCATCTACTGTTGTAAGCTTTCCAAAGAAATAACAGGGAGTAAAACCCTAGGAAAATGAAACTTAGATCTTCTCTAATAAAATATTTTTGCAAGCATTTGTCTTTTCAAGATGCTGTGACATCCTGTTCAGTTGAATGTTCAGCACATGACTTTAATTGCACAACTCATTCACTTTAAATATTTAATAATACTTTTATTAGCTGCACTGAACCAGTGAAGTAAGATCTGTAATATCTAGTGCTGGTCATCATTTTTATTCATCATGGTTTAATAAGCATTATAATTACAGACTGACGAAGACATATGAGTTAGCTTTGTGGTTTTGCTTGGGACTTCTGTGCACATTGGTGTGACTGGAAGGGATTATACAAGCTCTGTGAGCATAACTGAGCATATTTAAATACACTGATGCAGGCTTTCCAATACTGACACATTATTCTTCATATTTAAGTAACTGCAGAAAAGATGATAGTGCATAAAATTATGAGTCCTGACACTATTAACTCCATCTGACTTAGTACGGAAGTATGGAAATTTGAAGTGCACGTGTTCTTGGCAGGTATTTTAATGCATGCTTTTGCAGAATTAGACTTCAGCTATTTTTACCAACCATTTCCCGTATCTGCTTCCAACTCACACAAATATCTAAGTTATTTTGAGTGCACAGTTAGTTAGGAGAGCTTTCATTTGCAGATTTTGTCTTGAGTTCAAGCTGAAAGGCCATTTGTAGATAACACAAGCCCTCCAGGTTCAGTCAAGTAAATATGGATGTGATAATTTATAATTTTAATATTATAAATATGTCTATTTGCATGCTATTTGCATTCTTATGTTTTAATGGGAGTTATGGTAGGATAGCCTAATATCTGTGCATTTTTTAATGTTTTGTTAAAACATCATTTTTTCCCCATCAGCAACTTATGCGAGAGCGACAGCAGATGGCCAGCCGCCCCTTTGCTTCTGTCGATGTAGCACTGGAAGTAGGAGCTGAGCAAACAGACTTTCTACGAGGGCCATTAGAGGTAGGAACAGTGGTGCTGACAAGGGACCATTGTGATTTGCGTATTTATATCACTAGTCTCATCTGCATCTGCTTCTGAAACCAAGCAGTGTCTGATTACCTGGAGCTGACAAGTCTCAGCTACATATGTTATGCCATTTTAAAGGCGCATAATTTTAGTAGTATGACATGAGCTGTAACAAAAGCCACTAGAGAATCTATTAGCCTCTGCTAGAGTGACAGTCAGCTCACCTGGCAGTGCTTTCTTGATGAATAAGAGCTGAAGGAATTTAAGGTACATGCATTAAGGAGGAAGCAAACCTCATGCTCACTCCTTTGAGTACACAGTGCCCCCTAGTTAACATCTATCTTAATTAACAGAGATTACAGCAACCAACCAAATAAATAAATAAAGCAGCTGTGAGTTGAATTTCAATGTTCTGTCTTATATGTACGGGTTTAAACAATACAGAGTATACCCCTGCATATTTTCATTTGTGGATAATGGCTACGTTATTGCATTTTTTTATTGTAATTGCGGTACAATGAAAAAGAAATAATAGTAAGCAAGGAAATGTACTATTGGAATAGTGTAATAATGCATGAAATGCATTCTGGAAGTTTCACCTGCAAATAGGGAGAGAATTTCAATATGTGGATAATAATGAATATCTAATCTAGGTTGGGCTTTTGATAGAACAGAATCCTCTATTCCTTTACTTTTATTTACAATATTATGTTTACAGTTATTACTTTATCTTATTTATGCTGGGACCTGGGAATGAGGTGTGATAGCTCTGAAATCTTTCCAGATTGTACTTTTCTTTTCGTTGCTGCCAATTCCTCTTAAATTCAAAGCTTCTCTTACTTTTCTCAATAGCCCTTTTCAGTGGAAGATTAAATGCACTCTATCAAATCTCTGAGGTTCATGGAGGAGTGAGCAATGTGAAAAACAGATTCACAGCAGAAAGAAAAAGAATCAACTCCTGAGTACTTATCAAATTGAGGCTCTCTGTCCTGCTACTGTATAGGAAGCAATCACAGTTGTTCTTGCTGACATAATTTAAATACTTGGAATAGATAGTGCATAAAAATGTCATATCTCTTTGAAGGAGCTTTGTTATTTTCTGACCAGATACTAGAATACTGAACCCCCATGTTCATCATCTTTCCGTCTCCCTTTATCTTGGAACAGAGAACCTCTCCAGCCCCCTAGACTGAGGACACAGAATACTGTAGTTAAAAGTAAACTTTTTTGCATGTAATTTCATTGTTTCTGTGCTTCTACCTGAGAACATTTTCTTTGTTGTCTCTTCAGGGGGAGGCAGTGAGTGGGAGTTGAAGAGTCCAAACTCTAATTTTGCACATACTGATAATTTAGTTAAACTTTAGAAGTAAACATCACAAGTTAATTACCACATTTTCTTCTCTGGTACCTTTTATTTAGCAACTAAAATGTAGATGTGGAAATATTTTACTTATATTTTACAATTTTTATTAGCTTTTTCCTCCTAACCTAAGTATTTTCTAGTAATTGTTTAGTATTCTATATCTGTGATGTTTTTCCTAATTAATATACAGATGTACACAGAATGAAGACCACTCAGAGTTTCCTTGGCATTACGATACGCTGATCTATATCAAAAAAAAGCATTGTGCTCAAAAAAAAGCATTGTGCTGGAGATTAGATGCATGGGATTCCGTATTGATGGCCTTTGATGTATACTCTGTAAGAAAGAACTATATTAAACTTCTGTTTCAGGTCTATCTTGAATTTTCAAAAGAAGGACAATAAAAGTTATAGCTGCCATTCTATTTTTCATTCTTAGCTCTCTTTTGGCCTGAAGAGGATTTGGATCAAACATGCATTGCCTGGATGCAATGCCTAAATGCAAGGATGGCATGAAACTAGATAGGTAGCTATAACTTTATTTTATTGGATTAATGTAGAGTCACAAAATTATTTTCAGAATCCTGTGATAGCTGATGCCCATTGTGTTCATTGAAAGTTAAGAGATTTTTCAGTTAAAATGAGTAATGTGCAGTAACTTTCTTCAAAATGTTCCACTTGCATTGTAGGCGCCTTGCACTGACATACTAAGGGTTCCAGTTTTAATGGTGATGCATTAAATCCTCTCACCTCATACTTTCATTGATGTTCTGTGTTATTCACTGATGCTTTGGACCAGGTATAAAGTCAATGACATGGCTGGTATATTTTTATTTTCATTGTGATAACTCCAGCACTTCCAATGTCATTGTATTGATCTATGGGTCTTTTGAGCACAACATAATGTCAATATGTCGCATACGTTACTGCAAGTTTCCCGTTCAACGACACAGTAAGAATTCTGTTCATTAATGTCATCTGGCTTACAGGACAGTGATTATGTACAGTCAATGTTCTGTAATAATATTGATAGTCAGATACATGTCAACATTAGTATGACTATATATATGATAATTCTAGTATGCCATTTTTTGAGCTCTTGTTTTAGTATTTGAATTTAATTTTAAATATCCAGAACAACTGTTTTACTATAAGGTTTTAGACATTTTTTTCTCCAGTGTTTGGAAAGTATGGAAAATGGATACTGTGCTTAAAATGATTGATTAGTTTAGATAGTTACAATATAATTAATAATATTTGGTTTTATTTTCAATGAGCTGCAGTTGGCAACAGGTCAAAATAAACTCTTGAAAACTCTTGAAAATTCAGCACAGCTGAATCTCTTCTATTTTAGGCTCTCTTCCTATTTTTGAGCCTTTATCAGTCAGTCAATCTTCATTAATATTTTGGCAACAAAATGACAGTATCCTGATATTAAGACCTTCAAAATACATTAATCTGCATCATATTCTTCCTGTTTCCCACTGTCTCAGTAGGTTTTCGGGTATTGGCAGAAGTCTTTGCTTTTCCCAATTTAAACCATATCATTCATCTGTCTTTACTTCTTCAGGCTGCCTTCCTATGTAGCTGTAGAAACCCTAACATCCCATCCCTAGCAACTTCACATAGGTGCGGAAGCTTCACAAATATGATATTTTGTGGTAGTGTCACAATTTTGTCAGTACTAGAATCATGAAAAATTAAAATGGCATCATTGATAAATAGATATAACATTTCTTTCCATTCAGTGCTCTAGGTTTTAAAACATTTTTTATTCCTTTAATTTCCTTTTTCTAGACATCTAAGCTGTTTCCAGACCTGGGTGCTTTTTGCTGCTCAGTATATCCCAAAAGCGAGATCATTTAAATTATTTTCATATTCTGAGTCTGCTATAAGGCAATATTTTTCCCCAAATATAAATCCCTTTGGAAGATTCACTTCCACTATGCTGCCTACAGTCATTTTTGTTAATCTGTATGTTAACTGAAAAGAAATAAAAATGTTTGTTGCATCCTATTTGCCCTAACTTCTGAGTAGTTGTCTGCCCATTCACAGTCTATGAATCTTTTTGGAACAGGGACAAATTGTTTCTTCTTGTGAAATATCATGAGCAGTACTGTAAATTCTAATGTGTGGTCATGCTAAGTCTCTGAACAGCAGCATCTACTCTGCTATATCTGCTGGAAAAAAGACAGATGCGTTATTGCCTGCATAAGAACCAAGAACAGATTTGTTCCAGTGATGATCATACTTTTGATATCTGTACAGTATAACTTGATTTTTTTTTTTTTTTGCAAATTAATGTTCCTTAATAATTATTTCTACAGAAAAAAAACTCAGTAATCCTTTCTATCATTTTTTTCCATCGGGTTACTGCATTTCCTGTAGAATTGCCACAGATATTACAAATACTAGATCGTTCTGTTCTGACAAAGTAAGATGGTCTCCAGAATTTTGAATTTAAAATAAAATGTAGCCTTTTTTTCTCGAGTAAGCATTAATTAATATTTATAGTACATTAAATGTTATGAACTTCAGACACTTCTAGTAAGCATGAAACAAAGATCAGCCATTATTTTCCATTTATTGGAGCAGATTTGGAAGTGATTCCTCAAAACCAGTAGCTATCCCTATGCCAAAAATGGCTATTAAAAATCAGAGTGACTTATTAAAACACAGTAAAATACTGTACCAGAGGTTTGTGGGGCTTAGTTAGTTGAAGTTCATACTAATAAGCTGTGTTGCTGGTTTCTCCTGCCAATAAAGGGTCAGGACTTGTTAACTTGCTTTACAAATAAATTCAGTTAAGTTGAGTTCATTTTCTTGTTTAATTTGAATACTTTAATGAGTAAGTTTTGAAACTGCAATGTAATTATACTTCATTATTTTGTACCTGCTGAAAGCAGGTGTGCTTGTATGCTTTGTCAGCATTAAACTTGCTTTATTTTGATGACATAATGTCTAATATCAAAAAAGGCTCTTTCCAACTCTTTGTTACAGGTTATCTTATTGTCCTATGATATTCTCAGTTCCTAAATTTAGTCTTGGTCTCAGGGGCTAAATTGACTCCCATTGTAAGAGGGTGATATTTTATTGAGGATAATGATGAAGTTGTCTGAAGAACAACCATCCTGTTTTCAGTGACCATAAAGGCAATACATATTTGGCATCAGGAGCTCTCAAAGACCATTGTACCTGCACTTCTTGCTTACTTAAGAAGTCACGCGATACAGTTTTGAAAGTTGCGGATGTTGCTTACACAAGCTTATTGAGCCAGCTGAACTCTGGACACTTAAAAAAAAACCTTTTAACAGTATTTTTGTATAAAACACTAGCAGACCTGGTTGTGCTTTATTGTTACGGTGGTACGAAGTATCTTGTGGGACAGCTAGACATTCTCCTGGGTGAGAGAAGGGTAGTTTTTCTGGCTAGTCTATCTACTGCATCAGGGTAAGTGCTGAGGAAGGTGCAGTGGCAGGTGCAGGATGCAGCTTGTGGGCTAGTACAGCCGTGGTAGTATAGAACAAATTGCAGGTTGTTCTGATGATTCCAGGGACTGCAAAAGCCCCAGCCTGACTCTGAAGAGCAGAAACACAGTGCAGATACACCTACCCTGTCAGTTCTTTCAAACG